GGGGTGGGGGACGACGACAACGACACTTGGGGATAAAAGACCCATCACTTTAATCCTCAGATTTTGAAAACATATTTAAACTTAACCATAAGCAGGTAAACCTGAGAGAGGTAAAATGTAACTACTAACAACTTACCTTTTAAATTCTGAGTGAACAGAAAAAATAAATCTGTACTATTTCAAGTGGTGGGCAGATATCATTAAGACTTCCTGTTTCCAAGGTGAGGGCTTGTCATTTGAATACATTTTATGAATTTCCAAGACTATGAACACTGGCTTAGGTTTCATGTCATTTCTCCACATCCCATCATCCTTGGTCCCCACAATGAATACACAGCTATGACTCTAAACAGAGTAAGGTTCACACAGGCTCAACAATGCTTCTTTCTAATTCAGGATTGTATTTGTATTCATCTGTACTTATCTAAATCCTACCCATTCAGATGTCTATATGAATGCATGAGAGACAACTATTTATCTTTTCATCTTTATCAGTCGGGCAAGTTCTGGATAATTCAGTCTGTAAGGAGCCAAGAAATTAAACAGGATACACTTTTTTCTCAGCCCAGCCGGTGTTTCCTGCACCAGTGAGACAGGCTGAATCCAGACCAAGTGACCAGAGCGCCCCACCTCTGCTGATGGAAGTTGGTGCTGGGATGGAGGCCCATAGAAGAAGCATAAGTGAAAGTTTGGGGGAGGAAAAGAAGGGAACAACCCAGGTCAGAAACGGGGGATAGATGAGGGAAGAGGGGAGAGAACAGACCTACCTAATTTGGTGAAAAAAGCTGTCTCTGATTTTAGGTAGAACTCACTTAATCAAGCTTCCTGAGTCCCGACCTACTAGCTCAGAAGGACCAAAAATAGAAATATAAAAATCAAGCTTTTCTGTTCAAATAAATATACAAAATTCCAAGATAATTTAAAGAGAGATTACTAGATAAGTATCACATGATCTCACTCATTTGTGAAATATAATGAACATAAATTGATGAGCAAAAATAGATCCAGAGACAGAAGCATTTAACAGACCGTCCAACCTCAGAGGGAAGGCAGGGGAAGGTGGGAGGGGAGAATAAGAGATCAACCAAAGGACTTGCATGCATGCATATAAGCATCCTATCTAATAATAGACAAACATGGTAATTGACCGTATCTTTGCTACACCTCCCATTGGCTAATCAGCACGATATGCAAAAATTAACCACACAAAGATGGCGGCTAATTTGCATACTGCAGGCAGGGTGGGACAGTGCAGCCGCCAGCACAAGCTGCCAGCCCGGGCCGCAGGCCGGCCCCAGAAGCCGATGATCGGAGGGAGATGGGGGTCTCCTGCCCAGGCCTGACACCTCTGGTGGAGGCGTCAGGCCTGGGCAAGGGGCCGATCCAGCGATCGGAGGGTGATGGAGGTCGATGCCTCTGGCTGAGGCGTCAGGCCTGGGTGGGGGGCGGAGCCGGTGATGGGGGGATATGGGGGTCCCCTGCCCAGGCCTGACACCTCTGGCAGAGGCGTCAGGCCTGGGCAAGGGGCCGATCCAGC